CTCTCTCTCTCTCTCTCTCTCTCTCTCTCTCTCTCTCTCTCTCTCATGGGACTTGCCGGAGGGCCGTGGGAGGGCCGCATTTATATAGAGCAGGGAGGGCTGCTCGAGGGCCGGATTAAACCGGGCCGCGGGCCGCAAATGGCCCGCGGGCCGGACTTTGGACATGTCTGCTTTAACACAACAAAACAAATTTGAGGATAAGAAAAAAGATTGGACAAAATAGACTGCAGAAATGCCAGGAAAAACACTAGAATTGGAGAGACAAAAAATGATAAGAGAAGCAGAGAAAAAAAGAAAGAAAAAGATTTTCAACAAAAATGAATGGGCAAATGCCTCTCACAAAGATATTGTACTTGACTTACCTTTTATATCTACAGTAACTCCTACAAGAATATGGAAAGATCAGGGCTTTTTTTCTCAGAGAAAAGGTGGTGGAACTCACCTCCCTCCCCTGGCCACGCCCCCACCCAAACCTGGCCACGCCCCCACCCAAACCTGGCCACGCCCACGTTTGGCTTTGAGGGCGCCGGCGTGAGAGCCTCTGGATTCTCTGCCGCTTCTTGCTCGGGCAGGGTCGCCTAGGAAACGGGCCAGGGGTGCGCCGACCGAGCCTCCCTATGGCCGCGGTTGTGAGCCAGGCAGGGGCAGAGAGCTGCGAGTGCGAGCGCGCCCCCCCAGATGTTGCGCCTGGTGCGGCCGGCCCGGAAAAAGGTGCCGGAACGCGGTTCCGCCGCGTTCCGGCTGAAAAAAAGCCCTGGGAAAGATTCTTTGATTCAGCAGAACATATTGATTAAAAAAGATACTGGACAAAAGAAAAAGCTAAAGTGAAAATTAAGAAAATAGACAATGGGGCCTATCAGAGAGAATATTTAAAAAAGAAACACCTGTTCGAATATAGTTAAAGATATAGAAAAAAATTGGATATGAATTTGACTTTAAGAGGGAAGAGCCCCTCAAGTAACATAGTACTTTCTTTTTCTTCTTTTTTTTAATTTTATTTCTTGATATGAGTAATATAAAAGAGTTGGAATGGGTTATATAAAGGAAATGTTTTAGATATCTAAAGGTGATTGACTTTAAGAAAATTACAATGGATTAAAAATGTTTTGGATAAGAGTTAAAAGACTAGAGAACTAGATTTATTAAATGGAATATTTAAAGATTAAATATATTTTTAATTATGGTAAAAAAGAACGAAATCTTTTTGGAAATAAATATGTATTAGCTTATAGGAAATAGGAATTTTAAGTAGCATACTATTTTTTTATTTTTTTTTATTCTTATTCTTTTTTCTTTTTTTAGTCTTATTTATTCCTTAAGAAAGGTTAAAGTATTGTGTTGGCTTACATGAGAAAAAATAGACTTAAATATCTAAATGTAATTAAGTTTGAGAAAATCTTAATGAGTAAGAATGTTTTGAACATTGTGGGAAAAACAAACGTAAACAAGAACTGTAAACAGGATCTATGATGAGACAACCAGAATGACTAGATAGAAAAGGAATATTATATTGATGTGATTATTATCTGTAGAAATATTAGAAAACTTTTATACTCAATCGTTATCCTCTCATGCAAGAATTGTATTAACTTAAGGTTGGTAAAGGAGAACATTATGGGAAAAAGAGGAAATCAAGTGAAGTTATTACGTGGATTATAGATTATAAAAATCAATTGTTAGTGAATGTTTCTTAAATATAAACCCAGACAACACACTGTTTACCGAATATTAAGGTGATTATATTAAAAAAATAATAAAACATTTTTTTAAAAAAAACAACAGTCCTTGTGTCTAGTTGCTTTGGCATGCAATGCCCTATAGCAGTATCCTGAGGAGAGGAATTGAAACGGTTTATGTCCAGAATGTGAGACGTCAAACATGCAAACACACACATATATGTATTTTGCACTGGTTTTCCATGATTGGTTCACAGGCTTGTTTCTATCAACTCCTGAGAAATTACTGGGAATTTTACAGCATGATCTTATGCATAACTGTTAGAAGGCAAATCTCCTTGAAATAAGGAAGGTTTACTTTCAAATTAGCAAAATTCAGATGTTAATCTCAAAATGATGGAGGCATGCATAAAGCTTTCCTCTTCTTTAAGCTAGCCTTGGTTGAATGTTTTCTCTTATGTCCATTATTCAGATATGAACGCTTGGAAGAGCAGCTTAATGACCTGACTGAGCTTCATCAGAATGAGATGACCAATCTGAAGCAGGAGCTGGCCAGCATGGAAGAAAAGGTGGCTTACCAATCCTACGAAAGGGCCAGGGACATTCAGGTACAGACTTACGTGGGATGCTTATGTGATTGGTCCAACAACCAGTTCTACACACACTCAGAGGCATAATTCTGTATGAGTTAACTGCACATGTCCTCTGACCATTTCAAAAGTTTATAGTAACTATACAAATCTCAGGTGGCATGCTACATCGGCAGCACTTGCAACCAAGTCTTTTGACTGAAATTTTGAGAAATATTCTCAAAGAGTTTTCTGAATATGGCTGTCTGGAGATGAAAAAGATACATGGTATGAGAAAAAAAAACCCATCTTTATCCAAGGAGAAAATGAATTAGACAAAATCTTCTCAAACTTGCCAACTTTAAGATGTGTGGATCTCAAACTTCCAGAATTCCACAGTTAGCATGCCAAGTTTGAGAAACGTTGAATTAGACCCACGTCTAAAGAACAAAAGTTTTTGTAGGATTTAACTTTATTTTATTACTCTACAATAAATTATCTTCTTTTGCCAGGTTGTGGAAAGGTCATAGTTAGAGGAAAAGCAGACAATCCCAGTTGAATTCCTGAAGCCCGGAAAAAATCCTGGGTGAAATCCTCAGGAATCATGGCATGTAATATCGAGCTGATAATACTGATGAACCATTATCTGACAGTATAAGGCCTCTTCCTTCCACTTCCCCTACCTCTTCTCAAGTTCTTTATAAGTTAGGAGAAAAAACGTTGCTGTGAAAATTGTAAAAAGATGGGGTGAAAGAGCAAATAGGAGCTTACTTCATTATCCCATGGTAGAAGCTAAAGCAAAAGTGTTGGTGTAGCAGGTCGAAGATAATTTCAATGCATGTATCAACAGAGGAAAATATTTGTTGGGTTGAAATTAGGGATCCTTGGAGTTCTCCAAGCTTGATTATTTTCTTGCAGACATTTCATTATCCAAGGAAGGTAACATCATCAGTGCAGTGATATGGATATAGAGTTGATATTCCATTCCTCTTTTCTCTGTATTGTGCTTCATTGCACTTTGCTGCTGTTCTCTTTCTGTGTAAATAATATATAATCTGATGTATAAAAATGTTATCCTTCTTTCTTTATAAATTACATAAAGTTGCAAGTAATTGAGAATTATATTCCCAATATGTGTTGTTCTGCCCCCATGTGGCACTTCAAGGAACATCTCAGACTGATCAAAATACTTCAAGCAAATAAATAAGTAAAAGAACAGACATATTTAAGGAGATAGTGCACATTTCATGGACGAAAGTCTCTATTTTTTTCTTACATGTTTTTAAAAAAGAGTCATCAGAATTTTTAAGGAAGTGCATCTTCTTTAAAATACTTCAAAAGAAGTGCATCTTCTTCTTTTCATTGTTGTGAGATATTACCATCCAGTTCCTTTGATTCAGCAGCAGTTCTGGGGAGGTTTTTTCATGCATGCATGGGCATGTTCAGAGAATCAGGGAAAGGCTACACAAGCCTTTGAGAGATGCATCTACCTTAACATTTCAAACTGTGATTTTAGAGGGCCTCTCTGAATGCTCTACATAACCATGTCAAGTATCTTCCACAAGTTACTCTAATCTTCTTCCATCCTCTCATGTATACTAATCAAACATTTGAAAAAGAAATCTCATTGTTCAGACAACTGAGACAATTGCTTCCATCTGATATGGGATATTGATAAGAGAAGGAGTCATGGGAAGGCAGTGGAACATGCTCTGAGTGTCTCTGAGTGATACTGTTATATGTATTGTAGAATCCTGCACAGGGATGATAACAACAACAACTTTATTGTCACTTTGAATGTACACCAATCGGCATACATCAAAATGAAATTTCATTGCATACAGCTCTCAAAGGGTCACCACCTCCAATATACACTCCTTGTTCGTGGCCAGCTCAAGTTTCAAAACATCCATTTTAGTTTCTAGGGAGCAAACGATGGCAAACAGGACAGATGAAAATGGAGCTCCATGTGGATTAGCCCTCAAATTAGCTTGTATTCCTGCAGGACAACCTCTCCTCCTTTCCTTTTTCTGATCCTGTCTCTTCCACCTTTTCCTTAAAGGGGCCTCATTCCTTTTTGCCCCTGGAGCACTCTGACGCCGCCACCAATTCCTCCAAATGCCTCTCTCCCTTCCTCTGGGCCTGCTGACAGCCTCATCCAGTTCCTTTGCTCCATAAGCCCTGGGACCTCTCCTCCTCTGCCTCCCTTGGAAACAGCCCTGATTTGCAATGGAATCCGTCGCTGGTCCAGCAGTCAGATCTTGCTGCTTAGTCCCACCACATTAAAACCTTCCCGATCATGTGGCCTATATCCCTTATATCCCACCAAAAACTTTTCATCTTCGAGAGCCAATGCAGCCGCAGCCGATCCAGGTGCCGCCATCTTAGAAATGCCAACATCAACTCCAATGCCATATGGTGTACAGCAGTGACATGCACCATAAGGAAAGCCAACACTCTCTCTTCACTAGACCATCTAAAAATATGTGTTAATTACATGCATTTCTTACACTTGTGTGAGACTTGTGGTAATTTCCTGTCCATATCCTATCCACCTATCCACTGGTGATGCAGCTCATTTTCAAGTTACATATTAGTACTATCTTCAGTTGTGGAAATTCCTAATGTGACTAATTCTGTGGGTCACATCAGAATGTCATAATAGAAAGTATCACAATATTATAGTTGTTCAATTTACATGGAGCCAGAACATTGTGAAATTTGTTGGTTTTCCTTGAAGGAGATGCACCATTTCAATAGAAAGTTGATTTATGCTAGACTAGACAATGAATCCATTTATCTTAATATTGACTCTTCTGTCTTATAGTGCCTTTCCATAGGCCCAATTACGAATTTACCAGCTAATGGGTTACTATAACTGGATATAATGAACTGAATATAATGATCATTTTACTATAGCTAGGTAAAATAAGCACGCAAAACTTATTGCTAAGTTATTGCTTAATCTCTCAACTACATTAACTTTGATTCCTTCTTTTTTTTTTCCCACAGGAAGCTGTGGAGTCCTGCCTGACTCGGGTCACCAAGTTAGAGCTGCAGCAGCAGCAACAGCAAGTGGTGCAACTAGAAGGAGTGGAAAACGCCAATGCCCGTGCTCTACTGGGAAAATTCATCAATGTCATCTTGGCCTTAATGGCCGTGCTGCTGGTGTTTGTCTCCACCATTGCTAGTTTCATCACTCCATTGGTGAAGACCCGCATGCGTCTCCTGAGCACTACCTTACTAGTGCTTTTTGTCTTCCTCCTCTGGAAGCACTGGGACTCCATCACTTATCTTCTGGAACATGTGCTGCTGCCTAGCTGATTTTTTTTTGGTAGTCAGTTGCTGCGGCTAGAAGGAGTTTGTTTCTTGTAGAAAGGAAGTAAAACTGAGGCAACTTCCAGTTGGTTTTATGTCCATTTGGAGTGTGCAATTCTCACTTGCTTCCTCTTCAGAGCCTTCTGTTGTTGTACCCAACATTGTCTCAGCTGTAGGGAGAGTAATTACAGTGGGGCTTATGAAAGGCTTACTATGTCACACCTCTCTTCTGGAATGCTTTTGCAAGGCAGAATGGGAAGACATAAAGAGCTCAATATTTCAAATTTTATCCATTCCTTAAATCAGATAAAGGGATGGTGATGATGAGAGCAGTAGTTCATGTACAATCAAAATGGTCTTCTCTAAAAAGCAGTGGCATAGTTATTGATTTTCTTCTGCGTTGGAGAGAAATGATGGAACGTTTATCAGTGTAGTCATATATGAAAACAAAGACAAAGATTCAACACTGAACTTCTTTTTCTTTTTATAACTCATGAACCTGAAACAATCCAAGAATTGTACATACAACACAAGATAATTCAGGTCACAACATGGAGCGTACTTTCCTTTCCCATAGGACAACTGAATTCCACATATTTAGCTGGACTGCTTCATGTCATGGATTTGTTGTCCTTGTGGGTTGGTTCCGAGGAGAAAGCATTAAGCTTTCTGATGCAAACTCAACTGTTTTGGTTGGCTTTGTTTTCATTTGTTTTCCTTTTCTTTGATATTTCCATGGACTTTTAAAATACTTATAACCTTTACAAGTGTGTGTGTGTGTGTGTGGGTGTGTGTAAGTGTGCATGTGTTAATTTATTGATTTCAGAGATTTTTTTTTTAAATCAAGCATTAGTAAGCAGTCACCTGCCTTCACTTGATGGAGGGCTTTAACATGCTCCAATAGCAATAAACCCTCAATCTGCACAAAATGAATGAGCCACCACTTGAATTTGACAGTGTTCATTAACTAGGAACAGTAGATAATTTGTCCAACTGTCACTGGAGACTTTGGAGAAATCATATTCTTTGATAGACATTTTCTCATGAAAGGGTAAGCATCTGATACGCATCATCTGGTCCTGGGATAGTTCTCCAGTACTTATTTAAAGATAGCAATTGTTGCAACTCATTTGATGCCATTTTGTTTTCTACTGAAACTATCGGATCATGGTATATTGTAAGTTGAAAGCTTAAATCGTATTGATTTAACTAGGGAGTTTATGCCAGATGATATTTTAGCATCTGCTCTTATTCTGCTCTCATATACTTGCTCTTTTGGGCAATAGAGAGACTTAATTGTATGTTAGGGTTAAAAGGCTGGAATCTAAAATATCTAACAGAATGAAATGGGAGAGTCCTGAGAGAGTGGACACTTCAGACTCATGGCATGGCTATCCTCATTCTCTTTTACCACTTTATTCTGTCGCATGAGTAGACATTGTTTGAAAACCATAAGTGTTTATTTTGCACTTACAAGAACTTTGAACAGCCCTTGTAGATAGGAAAATGAAAGGTTGTGTTGCCATCTGTGTAGATATGCTCATCTACAAGTGAGCAAGGTAGAAGGGGAGATGTTTTCTGTATAACACAGGGAAATTATGAAAGTATAATGTTTGCAGTAGCTGCTTCCATTCTTCAGCATAAATAAGGGTTCATCTGTTTGACTTCATTCTCCTTAGGACTACTAAAGGCTAAATAACTTCACCCTATCAGAACAATGAATTTATTCTCTCTTCACTGGTCTGCTTTCCTATAACCATACTGCACATTTGCTCTTTAGTACGCAAAACATTCCTGGATTCTTTTTGGTAAAATATCTACCGGAATAATTCTAGACAAAATAACAATCATCCTGGTTCAGCTCTGAGCACCTGCATTTTACTCACTGATAGCACTTGGAAATGGGAAAGTCATTCTACTTAAAGCAGCTGAGACCAAAAGGGGCCCATGTTTGAATAGCATCATGGAATTTTGGACTGAGGCTGATTTTTTTCCCTGTAGAGACTTAAGTGTTGATTTTTCCTAAGTACCTTTTTTTCTAAAGACAAAACACCCTCAAATGTAAGCATCAGTCTGCCCTTAATAAGCCCTGGAGATGTGAAGAACCCAACCTTCACTTAGGCATCTACTTGATTTGTATATTTTCTTGAAGTCTGGAAATCAGTACATACGTTGTCATCAGTTACAGAAGGATCTGGTTTTATACTGTAATTTGAATGGGTAACATATTAAATGACGTTAAGATGAATGCTGAATGAGGTAGAAAGGAGATGTTGGTGACAAGAAAAGTGCTATCCTGGACGATAAAATAAAACAAATGTTGGCCACTGTCAGTGGTGAAAGTGTAATTGTGCAGGATTGGACCTTTCATCGGTGATTGTTATTTTGCACTGTTCCTGACTTCTCCCTGTCAGTAAATGACAGTGTGAATCGGAAAGCGAAGTTGCTTTATTAAAGGACGTTCGTGGTGCTGTTTCTAGGTGCTGTTCCTTGCTTTCAACAGCAATAGGAGAGTATAATATTTGGATTTTTTGTCTCTTACTTCTACTCTCCATTCCATTTTCCTCCCCTCCTCTAGTGGTCTATTGGCCTGTATATGCCATGTACACATTAGATGGTATATATTTTGATTGGAATGTTTGAAATAGCAAGTTTAAGTATAAATTGATGGGAGAAAAACTGGTGATCATTTCAAGCTTGGAGGGGAAAAAAGCAAACAATCGATTGCCATAATTCTTTGTGGCCTTAGATTGCATAGTTCATGTACCAACCCAGATTCAGCTGACTCGAAGTACTTGTTTCCCCCCCCCCCCTTTCGCTCCCTAGGTGTGGCATTGGCCACATACTGAGCCTAAATTTCTGCCTCTTTAGGATAGATCCCTGTATGCTGTGAAAATGATTCAGAAGAACTACTTTGCGCCTCAGGCAAGCACACTTCTTTTCTGTTCATTAAAATAGCCCCCCCCCCCTTTGCAGGCTTCTGCACAAGCCTGAAGAAAAGAGGCAGCTCCTTTAGTCACCCCATTAATGGGATGAATTCACTCCTTGAAGCTGCTTTGAGGAATAGGAGAAACTGCTGTGCTTTCCAGAGATGTGCTCTCCCTCTGAATATTTTTGAAGCATACTTTACCCTAGTTTAGGATTCTTATCACACCATCAGTTATACCATTATATATTTAAATATATGTATGGAGGATTCTCATGATACTCTATGTTAAAATCTAAACCTCACCCTCAGGCATAGTCCTTTTCTGAAAATGTTTGACTGTATTTATTATGTATGCTTGAATCTTTCCCACCCAACCCTCTCGCCCCATACTATAATATATTTCTTTTTCAGTAGAAGCCCCAGGCAAGCCCTGCAGGTTTGGATTAATTTACTGTGCTTTTTCATTTACTTTTTTTTTTTTCAAATAAAATGAGATTCAAAACTTTGGCATAAGAAAAGTGCTTTATTAAGCCTGTTAGTGCCATTATTTACAAGGAAAGAAACACATAGCAATTTACTGAATGGTGTGTGGGCAAAAAGTTAGCCACAATCTTTTAGACAAGCAGTCTCCAAACTTGCCAACTTGAAGACTGGTGGCTGAGGAATTTGGGGAGTTGAAGTCCACAACTCTTAAAGTTGCCAGGTTTGAACACTCCTGTTCTAGAACAGAGTTTCTTTAAATTTTGAAAATTTTGAGATGTGTGGATTTCAACTGCTGGAAATTCCCAGCTGGTATGTTTAACTTTTCCCAGGCTGAGGATAGCTGGGCATAACATATTGGCTATTAGATATTTTGCTGATTCCCAAGTGCCTGTTGGGGCAGCCCAACATTAACTTCAGCCTGAAACTCCATGTCCCTTATTTTTTGGATGAGCAGTTGTTTGGTATTCTGGAAGATAAGATTCTTGCCTGGCAGATGATCTTTGTTTCTGCAGAAAAAGCATGTTTGCTGAGCAATATTCAGAAGCACAAGAATGGCCAAACCAAATTTCTAGTGGGTCCCAGAAGAGCAGATCTTCAGTCTTTGCACAAGACTTCATCCTTCGGCAGAGTTAGCTAAACCAGGAGTTGGTATTTACAATGGATTAATTTGCTTAAAGAAAGTTCTCCCTTACCGAGAGAAGATGGAACTGCTGTGGTAAAATGGGGTTCAGACCTGCTTGTTGAGAGATGAATGTGGAATAACGAATCTGTGGAAGAAGGAATGCACAGAAGATGATGGACTGCAATTATCAGGATAAGAACTGATAGGTAGAAATTGTAATGAAGCAGATTTTGGATAAACATCAGGAGAGAATGCCATGTAGTGAGAGCTGTTCAATTGTAGAATGGCTGCCTTAGAAGTGGCAGGTGTTTCTTTGCTGATGGTCTTTCAGCTATGGTTGAACAGCAATGGATCAGGAGCATTATAGCTGTATTGCAAATCCTCTATTAGGCAGGGAATTAAATTATCTCCAGTGCCACTTCCAACTCAACAAATCTATTATTTAAGAAGAGCTACTGCTGAGGGTTCCATGAAGGCTTATATTTTTTAAAAATGGGATGTCCCAGTTTAAGACAGGCTAATTTCTAATCACTCCATTTCGGAGTATAAATCTGCACTCATTCACCTTTGGTATTCACCTGCCTATGACTTGACTTCGAATATTTGTTAAAGACTCTCTTTGCATCTTCTACCAATTAATACTGAATACTAATTCTCTTCCTGCTCCATGTATACTTTGAATTCTTTATTTAAGATTTTTATATATAGAATTCTGTTATGTAGGCAGTGAATCCTTTTTATCATTCCTACCTAGTGATGATTCTTTGCTCACTATTAGATTAAATATGATGGCATAGGCGAATGGAAGAAGGTCAGCCTCCTGCAAGAAGTCTCAAATGCTGGATTTAGTGCAAGCAATCTGCTACCAGAAGCATTTTGTCTATTTATAAAGCCCCAGAAAGTGATAGGTCCTGCTAATCTCAGGCTGGGGATCACTCAGTGCATTTGAATCTAGCTGAGACACTCTATCAGAGTGAAATTCAAACCCAAAGAGCAAAACAATTTGCACATTAATGATTCAAAGAGAATTGGAGCTTTGCTATTGAAAGTGCTTAATATCACTATCTTTGTAAGAGCCTTCAGAATGGACAATAAACATTCCCTTTGTTTCCTAGGGATCAATCCAACATTTTCAGTCAATTAATTTACAAAGACAAAAGACTCAAAGGCAACTTGAAGCAGAAAGAGTAGGAAATGCACCTTACAATAATGAGAGATAATGTCTTCAGTATAGTGGACCATTACAGAAAAAAATAGAATTTGGGCCCATATATTTTGCAGATCCTTGGTTCCAGCTTAAAAGGAAAGCAGATACACAAGAGCAGTGCCAATCTCCCACCTAGAATTAAAAGAACAATAGAGGTTGAGTTACAGTGATTGCTGCCATACATCAGTCTTCATTAAAGGGGTTCTCGGCACTTCTATTCCTTGGAAAAATCCTCTTTCCTCACATGGGTATTGACTGGAATTTCATGAAGGTATTTGGATTTGTAGCCCATGCTATCTTTTGGATGACAATATATATTAGAGCAAAGGACAAAAATCAGTAAAATATGAAAGGAGAGGTGACTGCACAGACTAAAAGTATCTCAACTGCCATCAATACTATCGTTAGTTCCTAGCACTGATAGCTAGATTGATCAAGGTTTAACTTATTAAGGCAATAGCAAACAGCTAAAAATATTGAGTCAGGTAGTGGCCTTGTATTGTTTTTGGAATTCTCCATGT